ACATAAAGTACGTAAAATGAGCTTAGAAAAATAGAAAACGAAAATTTTATTCAGCATGCACTAAATAAAAAGAATACATTAAACACATTTTAATCTTAATGGAGCCAGATTTAATCAAACATAAAGAATTAGACGTCAACCAGGCAGGCACACACAAAAAAAATTCCAGGGCATTTTTTTTATCTTAGATGAGTCTACAAAAATTGTTTTCTTTTCTAAGTCTCTTGTTTCTTCTATTTTTTTTTATAGCATGCGACACAAGATCATGTAAATCTATCGTAAAAAATGTACAACATATCTCAAAATAACGAAAATTCCCGACAAGTGCAAGTGGAAAAATTTACACATATGTCTGCGAAGTCGAAACAAGCAAGTCACCTTGAACTAAACACAGAAAAAAACTGAACAAATTCTTATCGACTCGCTCACGTTTTGGTTTCATTCATCTATAATTGGATATGGAATTATTTATTGATTATACAAGGTGCACAGGAAATTGCCATTCGATTAATTTTTTTTGTTTGCTTTTTGTTTCTATGTTGCACAACGAAGGATTTTAAAATAAGTCAAATTAATATTATTATTATTTTTTCGAGAGAAACTTTCATATTAATTTTCATTATTATGAATAAATATCAGCATAGAGAAAAAAAAATGGTAAATTGAATTATATTATCAGAGTAGTTTACTGAATTAAATAAGCTTAGCTTTTCTCACAATTTATTTTTTTTTTCAATTTTCAACATCTTTTATCTCACATTTTGCATGATAAATGTAGTTCGTGTGTTCGTTTTGTTCGACTTCTTTTTGGTTTATTGGGTTGTATGTTGAATATTTAGCTACTGGATGTTTTAACAACATGATATGTGAATCGGATTCTGTGAGAATTTATGGATTTGAATTTAAATTAGGATTTTTTTGACTCTCGAATGCATGTTGTGAGTTTTTTGTGCGAAGTTGGGGTTCTGGATTTGAATTCGGGAGTTAATCAGATTGTAAATTGATTGTTCAAGCTGTTGTCTGACAACAATTTCTTGTTCAGGAACTTATTGCTAATTTTTTTATTTTTATAAAAAAAGTAAAAAAAGAAAGGTTTGTCTTTTCGTTTTTGTTGGAAATTATACTAGTTTAAACTCTGAATTTAATATTTTCATTAGCAGTGATTGATCTTTGCCACATTTTTGAACAATTTAAAATACTTGAAACTTGATTAATGAGTACATTCAGCTTAAAATTCAAAATTTTAAATTTAATGCGTAAAATCTAAAATGGCGAAAATTTTTGAATTTGCAATTTAACATTCTTTATAACAGAATTTCTTAAAGGAGTAATAATCGTTCAGACAACTTCAAATCGTGTCGTCGTCAAAATGAAAACCAATTCTTTCAAAACACAAAGAAAGTCTTTTTAATTTCAAACAATAGTCCTATAAAATACCGTGAATTGCATGCAAATTTTCACTGCTCAATCAACTCTACAAAAAAAAATGCTTTCAAATCATCCAAATCCATTGACTCATTGTACTCGAATTTATTTTGTGTACATTTTTTTCGTGAGTCAGAAAGTTAATTGAATTTTTTCCACAAAAAAAACTTATTTTCTTATGATTTTGCACGGTGCTTTGGTGACATTAGTTTATACTCAATAATTAATTCCGTTTCGCATGAAGCTAAGCTGTGTGCCTTACGACAACTAACTTTCACTTATCGAATCGCTGATGCCTTACTTTTTTTGACATCCGAATCAATGAATTTAATTTTTTAGCCTATTCGAAAGAAGAAAGGTTTTCGTCAATTTAAAGACATCTGCCAATTATGCAAATTTAATGGTTGTAATTTAATGAAATTTCCGTCTCTAAAAATAGATCAGGATCAATATCTCTCAAATTAAATCATTTCATCATTATGGATCATACAAAAAAACACATTGGAATGGAAATGTCGATTAAAGAAATAAAGCAGCCTCAAATTTATTCAGTTTCACAAAAGAAAAAGGTTAAAAAAAATTTGAATGAAAAAAGAAGACAAACAACACATAAAAAAATGCCGACACATTAAAAATATAGGAAGTATGAGAATAAGTTTATGAATCAAAATATATCACATTTCAGCCAGAGTTCTATTTTTAGGGCTCTTAATGCCTCACGGGGAAGTATAATAATTATGATCATGATGCAATTAGAGAAATGATTTTCTTTCATAAACCACAGCAAGCAGGAAGTTTAATGAACATGCTAAAAGTCATTTATAATTTCTTGCCGCACTCTTTTCGTCCATCAACATCAAGCACACCCAGTAACATAAATCCTTAAATTTTGTATTTTTATAAAATGCAGAAGGCTCGTCAAGCAAACACGCAAAGTAATGTGATATGAGACTGTAGGTAAACATGTGGTTGATGTACAGAAAGTCTTGTCATATAGAAAATGAGGAAGCATTTTTCAGCACATTTTCCATGAAATAAAATAGGTTTTTGTGTTCATTGATTGATTAATAGAGTTATGATGTGAAGTGATTTTGGGATTTTTAAAGGTAAAGACAGTTTGTCGTTGCTGGAATGGATGAGATTTCATAGACATTTTTGGAAGGAATTTCTCTCATTAATAATCATCATCTTTACACCACATGTCTAGTCTTATAAATGATTATAGGATTTGGTTTTCGAAAAAAATTCATTAAGTTTTGCATTTCTTACAAAAACAAAGAGAAGAACTGCATATTTAATTTTTTTGTTATTTAAGACTGATAAATAAAAATCTGGAAATGTGGTCTTTAACATTATACTGGTCTTGATAGACTTAGAAATGAATTGATAAATTTTTATGACACTTAAGCTATCAATCTGCATTAATATTGAACCTCCTAGTTGATCTCTAGGAATATAAAATATCCACCAATAAACAATAGCATCTGATACAGCAATTAAGGATAAGACTATACCAATACATGATGTCAAAATTTCAAGCAGATGATATTGACATTTAATAAATCTGGTATTAATTTATTGAACAAATATCCTCATTCAATCGGAATAACCTAACCAGTTCATTTATGACGTCAACTGGAAATACATGCTCTTTCGAAAAAATGATTGGATATTTCCACAAAAGCCTTTTATTTTTAAAAATCACGATTACGTCAATCTTGTCAAACAACTCATCCTTTTGTTTATTTTGATTAGTCAATAAAAGTTTTATCAATAGGTAAATTTCTATGGAGTTCCTATCAATAGAGTTTTCTCACCTTACTTCATTCTATTCCATGAAAAGGTTGGAATATTTGAAGTTAGTGCCAAAACGAAATATTTTTGAAATGACTAGTCACAGAAAACAAGTCTAGATTGAAGTTGATCAATTATTAAGTCCGAATTTAGGTATAAAAAGAGAATCTAACCAATAATTGAATGAAACTATAGAATAAATGACACAATAGCTTGACAAAACTTCATTTTTAATTGCATTTCAGTTCGCAACCACAGAATAAATTTTCAGACTAGGATAGATCGCATGCTACCGTAGATTTTTGCATGTGCCGCAATCAACCACAGCAAATTTCTCAGTCTGAATAGATTTAATTAAAAATTCTTATTGCTTCATGGCAGGAGTCGGTTTTAGTGCTTTTCTGAGTACCTTGTCTAGTCACAGACATTTTTATTATCTTTTGGGAGTTGAGTCCAGGTTTAATGACTTTAATACGTTAGTGTTTCTAGGGTAGGCCTTAGGAATGAGTCCCTGATTTAACAAAAGAGCAATAAAGAATTCTAAAATTCTACAAAACAGAGAATCCGTCAAGAAGAAAACAACATGCTGGAAAATTTTTGCTAATTTTTCACATAAATTTTAATGACAAATTTGTTCAAAAGTTGAAATTCTTAATCGTGGTAAGAATTTTTGACAAAAATATTTTCTCATCACGTTGTTATCCCCTTCAAATCCTTGATTTGATTGGTAATTCCAAAAAAACAACGTCTGTCATCATCAAATTTAATTTAAAAACCCCAAAAACTTTAAATTCAATTTTAATATAATTGACGTTCGGCATCAAAACTAGCACAATAAAATAACCTCAAATTCAACCCTTGTCTTAATAAATATCCTTTTCATTTCACACTTATCCCCTATTAATTTCTTAATTAAAAATGAATATTGAGCATTTTTTTAAAAAAAATCAATACCCAAGAACTAGAGTTCTTTCTTTTATTTTGATGATGAGGCAACTTTTTGTTGTTCCTTTAAGTCGTCCTTTTTCTTTACTATACAGTAATACTTTTTTTTCTCAGCTCAAATTTCTTTTTATTCGCTCCGATTTTTCACAGTTCATTGGTTTTTTTTGTGCCAGAAAATACCTGCACAGTACCTTTAGCTTTATTATTCTTTATGTATGTATGTATTTATGTGTTTGGACAATTAACGCTTCACAGCAGGTAGAAGAAAAAAATTTATTAAAAAGTCATCACACGTGAAAGGTATCATCATCATTGCATTGATTCAGTTGGACGTAAGAGACGATGGAGAGAGAGATGAGATGAGAAAATAAAGATTGAAATTACGTCGATGTCGACTTGATGGATCTTCATGATGTACAACTTAAATCGATCAAGGGTACAATTTGAAGTCTTTCGTGGTAATGTTACGTAATTGAGGCACGAGAGGGAATTTGTAAGTGATGTTAATAGAACGAGGAGATAAGGGGCTGTTCACTTATTACGTAACGCGAAAAAATGACTTCTTAGACCCCCCCCCCCTCGTAACAAAATTTGTATGAAAAAAAAAATTCCTTGTTTGAACCGTAACAAAATCTTAGACCCCCCTCCCCCCCTAAAAGCGTTACGTAATAAGTGAATGGCCCCTAAGTCAGAAGTTGTCAGTAATTTTAAATTTTAATAGTCATCATTTATGAACAAACTCCACAGGTATGTATAAGATCATCATCGTCATAATTGACAACAGAGAACTTCGTGCTAAATTAATTAAGCATGAATCATCGCTTATATGAACTCACCATAAAAATTATACACGTATATTAATTCCAATTTATAGTCACTAATGAATTTGTTATTTAGTTTACATAGAAACTGGACTTCTTTTTTTTTTGCTGAATTTTTTGTTTATTTTGTCTAGATACACAGAACTAATTTTTTTATGCTGCTTCACAAATCCAAAAAATTCTTCCTTTTCTAGTCAATTATTAACTTAATTAAGACAGCATTTCTAATTGAATTCTAGCAATTTATTTATGCCGCATCTGAATGTAAAGTTTCTTGACTTCTATTTATTTATTTTCAGCCACTAAACATAACTTTTAACAAACACAGAACAAAAATATTTCAATCCTCACACCGTTGAGTAAAAAGCAAGACTAACGTGTTAGGAACGAGCATTAACTTTATCGCAGTGATTTGTTTCGTCTTGAGAGAGAGCGGGCGGGACGGTACAGAGAGAATGAGCATGAAATGAGAGAGAATTTTATCTTACGTCTTACGTATATTAATGCAGGTCATTATGTTTTTATGGATTTCTGATTCTTAAGAATATAAAAATGTAGTAAAGAAAGAATCTGAAGAAATTTAGTTGTAAGGCAAATGAAATGATTTAATTTAATGTTATTATGAAGTGGATCTTCTTGGATGTTTTGTTTGTTGCTGGATCAGGGTCTGGTTAACTTAAGTTTTAGATTTTGAAGATACCAAAGTTTAAAGATTCTCTCAGTCTGCCTCTCATCATGCCAAACTCTCATTACAAAGCTTAACCAGCACTGAACTAGACTGATCATGTCATGATCGCTGTAAATATAGAAATATGACTTTATTTTTTATGAAGTTAATGCTAATTTAGTGTTTTTTGTACGATGCAAATATTTGCTCACTGTTATTTGATGATTTTGTGAACCAGGGAGTGTCATTGGATCTTATTCTATCAGAATATACTTTTCAGTTGTTGATAATTGGCTATAAAATCAATAAAAATTTCGGTAATAAAATCGACCAAAATGTTTATCGATGCTACAAAGTTTTTAAAAAAACCAGTGTATCGGGTAGAAACCCAATGCGGATATATTCACACCGTACCATCAAAAGTCTTATGGATAGACCAAGATTTACCTAATTTATGTCATAATTATGTCAGCTATAAAAATACTTAGTTTGAATTTTGTCACCCTCGGGAACACTATGAACCAGTATAGCTGATTTTGGTCCAAATCTCGGCCATACTTCACACTTATTTGAACCACATTTTCTCGTAAATGTTACAATATTATTAAAAAGTAATTAATCCTGAATTATGTCGCTATTTTGTCAAGTGTTTTAAGATAAAGAATTTGTTTTTTGGTTTCCACAGTGAAGAGTATGAACAAAATTCAGATGGGGAAGTCTAAATTTTAGATTTCGATTTTTTTAAGCTATGCATTACAAAAAGTAATATTGGTATGTGATTTATGTCAGAATTATGTCAATTCAAATAAAACATCCAAAAAAATTTTTTGACAAAAGTACACCATACAAAATCAATTTTCAATTTTGGACTTGGGGCGACCATAGTCAAAATCAATTTTGTCACTTTTTTCTTTGTGGGTTTATACAAATGGATTGAAACTTTGCAGAAATATTTTAGTGCTTAAAACAAATACAAATAAAACATCCTAAAATTTTTTTGAGCAAAGAACCAAGAAGGAAATACATTTTCAATTTTGGACTAGGGGCGACCATAGTCAAAATCAATTTTCTCACTTTTTTCTTCGTGGGTTTATACAAATGGATTGAAACTTTGCAGAAATATTTTAGTGCTTAAAACAAATACAAATAAAACATCTTAAAATTTTTTTGAGCAAAGAACCAAGAAGGAAATACATTTTCAATTATGAACTTGGGACAGGTCCAGTCAAAATCTAGTTTTTCACTTTTTTTTCTTCTCAAAAAAATTTTTGGATGTTTTATTTGTATTTGTTTTAAGCACTAGAATATTTATGCAAAGTTTCAATCCATTTGTATAAACCCTCGAAGAAAAAAGTGACAAAATTGATTTTGACTAGGGTCGCCCCAAGTCCAAAATTGAAAATGTATTTCCTTCTTGGTTCTTTGCTCAAAAAAAGTTTAGGACGTTTTATTTTTATTTGTTTTAAGCACTAAAATATTTATGCAAAGTTTCAATCCATTTGGATAAACACTCGAAGAAAAAAAGTGACAAAATTGATTTTGACTAGGGTCGCCCCAAGTCCAAAATTGAAAATGTATTTCCTTCTTGGTTCTTTGCTCAAAAAAAGTTTAAGACGTTTTATTTGTATTTGTTTTAAGCACTAAAATATTTATGCAAAGTTTCAATCCATTTGGATAAACACTCGAAGAAAAAAAGTGACAAAATTGATTTTGACTAGGGTCGCTCCTAGTCCAAAATTGAAAATGTATTTCCTACTTGGTTCTTTGCTCAAAAAAATTTTTGGATGTTTTATTTGTATTTGTTTTAAGCACCAAAATATTTATGCAAAGTTTCAATGTATTTGGATAAACCCTTGAAGAAAAAAGTGACAAAATTGATTTTGACTAGGGTCGCCCCAAGTCCAAAATTGAAAATGTATTTCCTACTTGGTTCTTTGCTCAAAAAAAGTTTAGGACGTTTTATTTTTATTTGTTTTAAGCACTAGAATATTTATGCAAAGTTTCAATCCATTTGGATAAACCTTCGAAGAAAAAAGTGACAAAATTGATTTTGACTAGGGTCGCCCCTAGTCCAAAATTGAAAATGTATTTCCTACTTGGTTCTTTGCTCAAAAATTTTTTTAAGATGTTTTATTTGTAATTGTTCTAAGCACTAGAATATTTCTGCAAAGTTTCAATCCATTTGGATAAACCTTCGAAGAAAAAAGTGACAAAATTGATTTTGACTAGGGTCGCCCCTAGTCCAAAATTGAAAATGTATTTCCTACTTGGTTCTTTGCTCAAAAAAATTTTAAGATGTTTTATTTATATTTGTTTTAAGCACTAGAATATTTCTGCAAAGTTTCAATCCATTTGGATAAACCTTCGAAGAAAAAAGTGACAAAATTGAAAATGTATTCCTACTTGGTTCTTTGCTCAAAAAATTTTTAAGATGTTTTATTTATATTTGTTTTAAGCACTAGAATATTTCTGCAAAGTTTCAATCCATTTGGATAAACCTTCGAAGAAAAAAGTGACAAAATTGAAAATGTATTCTACTTGGTTCTTTGCTCAAAAAATTTTTAAGATGTTTTATTTGTATTTGTTTTAAGCATTAGAATATTTATGCAAAGTTTCAATTCATTTGGATAAACCCTCGAAGAAAAAAGTGACAAAATTGATTTTGACTAGGGTCGCCCCTAGTCCAAAATTGAAAATGTATTTCCTACTTGGTTCTTTGCTCAAAAAAATTTTTGGATATTTTACTTGTATTTGTTTTAAGCACTTTCCAATGGTTTCAATCCATTTGTATAAACCTTCGAAGAAAAAAGTGACAAAATTGATTTTGACTAGGGTCGCCCCTAGTCCAAAATTGAAAATGTATTTCCTACTTGGTTCTTTGCTCAAAAAAATTTTAGGACGTTTTATTTGTATTTGTTTTAAGCACTAGAATATTTATGCAAAGTTTCAATACATTTGGATAAACACTCGAAGAAAAAAGTGACAAAATTGATTTTGACTAGGGTCGCCCCAAGTCCAAAATTGAAAATGTATTTCCTACTTGGTTCTTTGCTCAAAAAAATTTTTGGATATTTTACTTGTATTTGTTTTAAGCACTTTCCAATGGTTTCAATCCATTTGTATAAACCTTCGAAGAAAAAAGTGACAAAATTGATTTTGACTAGGGTCGCCCCTAGTCCAAAATTGAAAATGTATTTCCTACTTGGTTCTTTGCTCAAAAAAATTTTAGAATGTTTTATTTGTATTTGTTTTAAGCATTAAAATATGAATGCAAAGTTTCAATCCATTTGGATAAACCCTCGAAGAAAAAAGTGAGAAAATTGATTTTGACTAGGGTCGCCCCAAGTCCAAAATTGAAAATGTATTTCCTTCTTGGTTCTTTGCTCAAAAAATTTTAAGATGTTTTATTTGTATTTGTTTTAAGCACTTAAATATTTATGCAAAGTTTCAATTCATTTGGATAAACCTTCGAAGAAAAAAGTGACAAAATTGATTTTGACTAGGGTCGCCCCTAGTCCAAAATTGAAAATGTATTTCCTACTTGGTTCTTTGCTCAAAAATTTTTTTAAGATGTTTTATTTGTAATTGTTCTAAGCACTAGAATATTTCTGCAAAGTTTCAATTCATTTGGATAAACCTTCGAAGAAAAAAGTGACAAAATTGATTTTGACTAGGGTCGCCCCTAGTCCAAAATTGAAAATGTATTTCCTACTTGGTTCTTTGCTCAAAAAAATTTTAAGATGTTTTATTTGTATTTGTTTTAAGCATTAGAATATTTATGCAAAGTTTCAATTCATTTGGATAAACCCTCGAAGAAAAAAGTGACAAAATTGATTTTGACTAGGGTCGCCCCTAGTCCAAAATTGAAAATGTATTTCCTACTTGGTTCTTTGCTCAAAAAAATTTTTGGATGTTTTATTTGTATTTGTTTTAAGCACTTTCCAATGGTTTCAATCCATTTGTATAAACCTTCGAAGAAAAAAGTGACAAAATTGATTTTGACTAGGGTCGCCCCTAGTCCAAAATTGAAAATGTATTTCCTACTTGGTTCTTTGCTCAAAAAAATTTTAGGACGTTTTATTTGTATTTTTTTTAAGCACTAGAATATTTATGCAAAGTTTCAATACATTTGGATAAACACTCGAAGAAAAAAGTGACAAAATTGATTTTGACTAGGGTCGCCCCAAGTCCAAAATTGAAAATGTATTTCCTACTTGGTTCTTTGCTCAAAAAAATTTTTGGATATTTTACTTGTATTTGTTTTAAGCACTTTCCAATGGTTTCAATCCATTTGTATAAACCTTCGAAGAAAAAAGTGACAAAATTGATTTTGACTAGGGTCGCCCCTAGTCCAAAATTGAAAATGTATTTCCTACTTGGTTCTTTGCTCAAAAAAATTTTAGAATGTTTTATTTGTATTTGTTTTAAGCATTAAAATATGAATGCAAAGTTTCAATCCATTTGGATAAACCCTCGAAGAAAAAAGTGAGAAAATTGATTTTGACTAGGGTCGCCCCAAGTCCAAAATTGAAAATGTATTTCCTTCTTGGTTCTTTGCTCAAAAAATTTTAAGATGTTTTATTTGTATTTGTTTTAAGCACTTAAATATTTATGCAAAGTTTCAATCCATTTGGATAAACACTCGAAGAAAAAAGTGACAAAATTGATTTTGACTAGGGTCGCCCCTAGTCCAAAATTGAAAATGTATTTCCTACTTGGTTCTTTGCTCAAAAAATTTTTTAAGATGTTTTATTTGTAATTGTTCTAAGCACTAGAATATTTCTGCAAAGTTTCAATCCATTTGGATAAACCTTCGAAGAAAAAAGTGACAAAATTGAAAATGTATTCCTACTTGGTTCTTTGCTCAAAAAATTTTTAAGATGTTTTATTTGTATTTGTTTTAAGCACTAGAATATTTATGCAAAGTTTCAATACATTTGGATAAACACTCGAAGAAAAAAGTGACAAAATTGATTTTGACTAGGGTCGCCCCTAGTCCAAAATTGAAAATGTATTTCCTACTTGGTTCTTTGCTCAAAAAATTTTTTAAGATGTTTTATTTGTAATTGTTCTAAGCACTAGAATATTTCTGCAAAGTTTCAATCCATTTGGATAAACCTTCGAAGAAAAAAGTGACAAAATTGAAAATGTATTCCTACTTGGTTCTTTGCTCAAAAAAAGTTTAGAACGTTTTATTTGTATTTGTTTTAAGCACCAAAATATTTATGCAAAGTTTCAATGTATTTGGATAAACCCTTGAAGAAAAAAGTGACAAAATTGATTTTGACTAGGGTCGCCCCTAGTCCAAAATTGAAAATGTATTTCCTACTTGGTTCTTTGCTCAAAAAAATTTTTTTCATCCAAAGTTTAATTTAAAAAAATCACAGTAAACTTTTTTTTGAAAAAATCGTAAGAAAGGAAAGTTTTTTGCTTTTTCTGAAGCAATGGCTTTTCCTAACTTGCCTAAAAACAATACAGCTCTTCTATAGAGCAGCACGGATCAAATGTAAAAAACTAGAAGTCTCTTCAATGTCTCGTTATTGAGATTTCTTGCTGATTAACTTGCTTGTTTGCTTGCTTACAGAAAGCATATTTTGCGATTTTCTCAGCAATGCCGCAACCAAATTGAAATCTGTTTTTTGCGAAAGATGTGAAATTCAAGGCACAAACTTTTCATGTTTGAACATTTTAAGCTATCTTGCTCCATATCCTCACAAAATTCAAAAATCTGAATTTTCAATCTGAACAAAACCCCTAGTAAACAAAAGGTAGATCAATGTATTCCATGAGAATCTTCCATGGATGATACATATGTATTATCCATGTATTATCCATTGGAAGATGATGTCCTATGAAATTGGAAGATAAATGGACAATGCAATAAGACATCAATGGAATACAAATGGATTACTTTTTTTTGGATAAAACACGTGGTAAATTCCACGTGTTATTTTGTATTTTTCTTTTATTTGTGTAAATTATTGTAAAAGTATTAGTGTGTACTCAATTAAAGTACACTAACACTACGAAAAAGAACAAAAGGGACTTTATTTAATTAAGCAACATACTGATGAACGCCCAAGACTCGCACACAAACCTGAGGAAGATAAATAATCAATTGAAAGCTCCATACAAATTTAGAGTGAACTTATAATAGTGATTTATTCGAGCAATTGTGAAGTATATGGCAAATGCCAAATTTAGAACAAATATTATTTATGACGCACAAAATTCTTTCTTTCATGATTTTTCGTAAGATTCGAACTTAAGCGGGCTCGGGTAATACTTCGATGGAACACTTTTGTTACATGTTTGTAAAACAAATATTTTACATATAATAAATAATAATACATTTGATCTTCCATCGAACTTCGAAGGAAGATTATATGGAACATTTTGGTTACTAGGTACCAATAGATTCACACGTGAAAACGGTGTGAATATAATAATTTAATTAACGAATTTGATATCTGCGGTAGTAAAAGATTTTTATGGTGGATGACTATAGAATAATGTATGCAGTTATTGTGGATTTAGAGGAGAAAATTTATTTTTGAATATTTTGGAGCTAGAGAAAGGATTATTTGACAGTTCTTCCTTTGATCTAAAATGATCTAGGTTTGAGCTTGATATTCATTGTTTTAATGCACAGAATTATAGATTTTCATCGTTACTTTTATGTTAAACCTTAGCTATTTTAATGCAAATAATTAAACTTTTGTCAAACTGATTTACAAAGTTTTGATCCAAATTTGTTCATTTTTCTCAGATTTGCTGCATTAAGTTTAACCAAATTGTAAAAATCTCAAAAAATTTTAAATTTGAAACTAAAATTCGAAGATAAAATTGAATTTAAAGTTCAAAAAATATTTCGAGCGTTCCATTCCATAATAAAGACCTTGCTCTGAGCAATAAATTATCTATTATATTAAACTCAAACCTGCTTCATAGAATCCATATCATTATATACCCATTTTTTACAGAAAATTAATAAATTTTATTGCGAATTTCTTTTTATTCCAAACAAAAAATTCGTTCCGGAAATATGTGAATAAATTGTACATAGCATAGCATAGCTTTATTGCTTAATAACACTAATATAAAATTAATTCCTTTCATCTTCATGTCTATGATTAGTTAATTTTCTCAAATCCCTTTTCATTCCTCATTAATAAAATATTTTCTGCCTAATTAATCAGTTCTTCTTATTAGGATTATTCTTATTTGATTGATTTCTCGGGCGCAGAAACCTCAATCAAGTTTCAAAATTCAATTTGAGAAGACTTACAGTAAGTTATGACACAAACATTTTGTGACATATTATCTCTAATAATTCGTCAATTAAGTCCAAAAACAGCTCATAAGTTTGACTCAATTTAATCATCAATCAAAAGTTACGTAAAGAAAAAGGTTCACTTAGAAATTGAGTTTTACTGAATTTCTCGTGTTTCTTTGCCATTTCAACAAATTACTTTCATTTAGTCATTGCGACAACAAGCCATCAAAGGCAGTCACGCTAATTCAATTTTAAAGTATTCAAAAAAAATCATTAATACATTTTCGGAGACAATACCATGTGTGTATGCTTTGCACGTCAATATCAATTACTAAGCATTTATAGAAGACAAATTGTGTGTGAAAGGCAGCATTTAACAAACATTTGCATCCTATAGACAAAATCTGTTGAAGACATTTTACAATCCAGCAGTCATAAATTATTTTAAAGCGCCAGAATGTTTTTGCCAGGTCGCATTTTATTGCACGTGCAATATTGTTTATGCTGCATCTACCTGAATTTTTGGAATGGCATGGAAAATTAGCTAAACAATGGTTTAGAAATAAAAGTTGCAAAGCATTTGAGTCCTTTTTTGAAATTCAGCTGAATTAAGCTGAACTAGCTGAATTAGAGTGACAAAGCTGAACTTGCTGAATTGAATTGACTAAGCTGAACTAGCTGTATTGGAGTGACTAAACTGAACTAGCTGAATTGGAGTGACAAAGCTGAATTTGCTGAATTGAATTAACTAAGCTGAACTAGCTGAGCTGGAGTGACCAAGGTGAAATTGCTGAATTGAATTGACTAAGCTGAACTAGTTGAATTGGAGTGACTAAGCTGAACTAGCTGAATTGGAGTGACAAAGCTGAATTTGCTGAATTGAATTGACTAAGCTGAACTTGCTGAATTGAATTGACTAAGTTGTATACAGTTGAATTTGTTGAATACCATGAAACTCAAAGTATTCCCAATAAATGTCAAAATGCCATAGATAACCACACCTAATCGAATAATTCCGCTTCTCTTAACATATGCGTCAGGCATGCGGCATTTCCCAAATTCGGAAAATCCCATAAACATGTCACAACAGACAATATATCATGGGTATGTATAACAGTAAATAAATTCCCAAAACATCGATATTTATCATTGAAAATATTTTGATAGTAACGCGATTAATTAATTAAACTTTATTTCCTTAAATTCAAACAACTGTGATAATTAAATGCATAAAAGATTTCAAAATAATTTGACATCGAGTAATAAATCCTAATTAGATGCCGGTGCCGTATCTCTAGATTTATTAACATCATCCTCCACAACTTGACCCCGTCTACGACGACTAAAATCAAATTTGGGCTTGTATAAGTCATTCGCATCGTACCTTTGTGATGCGAATTGATTTTTATGTACAGTCGTGTTATGTTCTGACTCATCTATTGGAATCAAATAAGATTAATAGCTGGAAAACATTGATAATTCATAGTTTCTAACCTGCGGTATCGAGTGTTTTAGATTTTGTTTTTTTGATTGCAGAATTGTCATTTTTCTTGCTTGCATAATTATTATTGGACACGAATGGAAATTTTTTTGACTTCATCATGTCTATACATTCAAACCATGGATTATCGGGTAATTGATCAGGCACAAACCCATGAAATCCGCTATCTATTTCATCATTTTTATCCATAGACTGCTTATTTGTGGATTTAAGGTAGTCATGCTTGACAAGAATCGATGATTTTTGTTCCTTATTAGATTTCAATTGGATTTTTGTTGATTCCAATTCATCATTATTTGATTTAATATCAGTCGATTTTTGGTTCTGATCAGTTGTTTTATTTTCAGTTCCTTTTGTCGATCCATTAACAACTTGATTGTTATCTTTTGGATTATTGCTTTGTTTGATTTCCTTGCTATCACCAGAATCATGATCTGTTGATCGTCTACGTCTATTTGATGACTTTTCTTGGTGATGATCATCTTTTGGTTCCTCATGTTTTGATTTAGATGATTTTGAGGATTCAGGCTTCTTGTCCTTTTCTCGATTATCTCGATGATCTTTACGGCTACTGGAAGTTCTTTCTTTAGCTCTATCCTTGTCTTTTTCAGAGCTTTTCTTATGACTACTTGCACTTTTGTGTGCAGTACTATGAGATTTTTGTTTGCTGCTTTCATCAGCTTTAGATTTGGACGATGATGAGCTGTGATGATGCCGACTAGATTTATGTGATGAAGATTTAGACCTTTCTCGGGATCTTTCACGTTTGTGAGATTTTTTATCTTTGATTTTCGATGAATCTTGTGAACTTTCTTCTATTTTTGATGACATTGCTGTCTCTTGTGTAGTTTCATCTTTGAGATCAATTTCCATTCGCATTTCACTGGAATCTGTTGTGTCATTTCCATATAAATTCTCAACTTCCATATTTTGGACATCTTGTTGCTGAACAACTTTCTCAGACTCACCCGAATTTGTCGAATCATCGAGATTTATTGACTTTCGTTCAGTTCCAGTAAATTCTATTTGATCCTTTTTCAAGTCAAACTGACATTTTGGCTTGTCAGAAGTTTTTTCAATCTCTACTTGCTTCACTTCATTCTCTGTTGAGTCATTTAAGCCAGTTGCCATTTGCGCTTCCTCACTACATATCCCTGGAACTGGAATAACACTCGTAACAATCGGCGGTTCCATTTCTGAAGTATCTGGAATGTTATCTTGTGTACTGGATATTTGTGAAAGTGCTGTATCGACTTTATTTTGTTCTCCTTCAATATTTGTTGGTTCACTTTTATGTGATTTTGGTGAATCTTGAGATGTTAAGCCTGAAATCTCAGACAAATTTGTATTTTCATTAGTTTCAACTTCAGTCTTTTCAGCTTTAATTGCTTCTATTGGTTCAAATGCTGGTGACTCAAAATCTTCATCCTCTACTAATTCCTCTTCAATTTCTTCCTTTATAGATCCAGGAGATTTCTTGTCAGTCGATGAATCTGGCGAAACTTGTTCAAGATCTGTTGGTAGTAATGCTGTATCGATTTCTAATGATCCATTCTGCTGTTTCTCTTCCTTCTTTGGTTTTTCAATGCCTACATATTTGTACAATATCTCCTCAACTTTTGACTGGATGTAATCCATTTTCTGCTCAACAACTTGATCCACAATCCTACTAACTCCACTTTCGAGAAATCCAGCTCTAAAACAGTTTTTAATTAATTACATTTCTTTGTGCTTATAGTATGTAAAGTTACCGTATGATGTTTAATCTCATTTCCTCACGAAGTCTGTTCTTGTTCTTTAATTCAGGAGTCCAAACTTGTCGATTTAAGAATCTCTGTACTGTATCTTCAACTCTGGAATGCAAATTTTGGTACGCAGGTTGTGTGTCCACATCTGCAAGACACTCTTTTCTAAATGTATCGAAATGTCCTTGACTTTTTACTTCCAAAACTGCGAAATACAAGATTTAAATTAAAAACACAATGGAAATTATTTAAAATCACATTTTCATACTTATTTTATCCACGAATTCAGGATCTGATAACTTATACGTTGCCATTTTGATTTGTTTTATATGATGAGATTAATTAAAGTTCATTAATGAGCGATTAGAAGGTAGAAAACGTTAATTAATGAATTTAAACTTTGTTTTGAGTGTATTATTGACAATCCGACAAAACAATAAAGTAAGATATGAAGTTGGCTTCAAAAAAATTTTAATTTTGAATTTTGAAAAACTGTTAAAGCATGTTGCTGAGTTTTGCTCAGTGTTGCTCACATTTTCAAAATAAAACTTTAGAAATTTAATAAATTTAAAATTACTACAAAACTAGTAATTTAAGGAGCTTTCAACAAGTAATATTTATTTAATAATCAGCCTTTGCATCCGATTCACAAGAAATCAAAAGAAAAACATGGTTTCTTTACGAGATAAACAAATAAGTAAGTTGATGAGTTGGACCTTTTTGCAAAATAATAAAAATCTTTAATTTAACTAGATGCAATCAAGCAAATGCTGAATTTAAATCAGCCTATAGCTAAAACTCTCGCATCAGAACCTGTGTGGAAGCTTTTAATTTATGATCGAGTTGGACAAGACATTATTTCACCACTAATAAATATTCAAGAATTAAGAGAAATGGGATGTACTCTTCATATGTAAGGCATACAGATATAGTCCAATTAGTGTCATATTAATTAATCAATTTTTATATTTTAGTCAATTACATTCAGATCGTGACAGCATTCCTGATGTTCCTGCTATCTACTTTTGTGCACCGACTGAAGAGAATTTAGGGCGAATAGCACAAGACTTCCAGAATGGTCTATATGATGTGTATCATCTAAACTTTATAGCTCCCATATCTCGACAAAAACTCGAAGATTTAGCTAGTGCAGCCTTGCAGACAAATTGCGTTGCAAACATCCATAAAGTTTATGATCAATATTTAAATTTCATCACATTAGAGGATGATTTATTCATCTTAAAGCATCAAAATAGCGATTCCATGTCTTACTATGCAATAAATCGTGCAAATACGAATGATGTAGAAATGGAAAGTATGATGGATAGTATCGTTGAGAGTTTATTCTCAGTTTGTGTGACTCTCGGGAATGTTCCAATAATTCGATGTCCCAAAAATTCTGCTTCTGAAATGGTCGCTAGAAAACTGGAGAAGAAGCTTCGTGAGAATCTTTATGATGCTAGAAATAATCTCTTTCATATGGACGCAACACAAGCTGGTAATTTCAGCTTCCAACGGCCAATTTTAGTGATTCTCGATAGAAATATTGATATGGCAACACCATTACATCATACATGGACGTATCAAGCACTGCTTAGTGATGTTTGTGATTTATCATTAAATCGTGTCGTAATTGAAGAAGATTCTGAAAAAATGGCACAAGGCGGTGCAAGGAGGAAGGCAAAACCTTACGATTTAGATAATCGAGATAAATTCTGGACGTCACATAAAGGAAGTCCATTTCCAAATGTCGCAGAATCAATTCAAGAGGAACTAGAATCATATAAATCATCAGAAGATGAAATTAAGAAATTAAAATCAACAATGGGAATTGATGGAGACACAGAAGTAGCTTATTCGATGGTCAATGACACTACAGCACGCCTTACAAATGCTGTCAATTCATTGCCTCAATTGATGGAGAAAAAACGGCTAATTGACATGCACACGAAAATTGCTACAAACATTTTAAATTTCATTAAATCACGACGTCTTGATTTGTTCTTTGAAATGGAAGAAAAAATCATGTCAAAGTCATTGGATAAGCCACTTAGTGACTTGCTTCAAGAACCAGAATTTGGAAGTCCTGATGATAAAATGCGCCTTTATATAATCTATTATATCTGTACTAATTTGCCTGACACGGAATATAAGAAATTGGAAACCATTTTACAGGAAGTTGGATGCAATTTATCAGCAATTCCGTACATTCAGCGATGGAAAAGTATAAATTCTCGATCATCTAATAATCTAGCTACTAATCAATATGAAGGAAGTGGAACTAGAACAGTCACTATGTTCAGTAAATTATTGTCACAAGGATCGTCGTTTGTTATGGAAGGTGTCAAAAATCTGGTCGTTAAACGGCATGTAAGTATATTGTCAAGGTCATAACATTAATGATCTCAAGACTTTAATAAACATGAATTCCCCAGTATAAAAATGTAAATAGATGACATAATGCTCATATTTTGGATGTTTGTTTACAGAACCTGCCAGTAACAAAAATAACAGAACAGCTTATGGAATGCAAAGCTAATACAGAAGTTGATGATTATCTCTATTTTGATCCAAAACTGTTAAGAGGCAGTGACGTGTGTCCAAAAAATCGAGCACCATTCCAAGATGCAATTGTTTTTATGATTGGCGGTGGCAATTATATTGAATATCAGAATTTAGTTGATTTTATTAAGGTAAGGATCAAGTTTAGCATTAAACGATTACTTTAATTCCTTAAAACTGCTTAAAACAATCTAATTTGAATTATAAAACCTTATAACAGCAAAATTAAGATTTGAATTAAGAACCATATAACAGCCAATTTTAGTTGATACCTTTCAACAGCTTTGCGATGGCTTCAAAACCTTACAACAGCTAATTTTTTGAATTAATGTTTAACGGTTTTTATTGTTCAAAACCTCACAAATTCATAAACATTTGTGAGGTTTTTAGTATTGTCTAATAAATTCAGCATAATATAACAATTTAAATCTTTTTTTTCTGCATCTAGCAAAAGAATACATCAAGTACATCAAAGAGGATAATTTATGGATCAACAACACTGAATAATGCAAAGCAATTCCTCAAGCAGCTCGCGTTACTTGGCGAAGAGATTAGCTAAACAGCAACATAACTCTAGGCTCGGGGAAGGTTCATAAATATTATAATGAAAGCTTTTAAAAATCGTTTTATTTATCAACACAAAAATATTAAAAATATTTCTTTGTTTACGAGACATTTAAAAAAAATGAATTAATAAATCAGATATAAATGAATTATCTTAAATAACCAGTAAGAGTGTCAAGTTTGTGTAAGGTAAAAAAAAACGAGAAATATTATCGTGTTGACAAATTTGAGTTTTTTTTATAATTTTGCGTCATCAAGTAGCTTGTTGAATTGAATGTCAAGGACGGATATTTAAAAAGAATTTTTTAAAGTTATTTGAAATATTTTCACCTCGACTTTAAGGCAAGAGATTAAATTTCTCACATATTCGCATTAATTATCGTCATGTATGGTTAATTTGCATGGCATGTATAGCTTTATCTCAGACGTCGTGGCTCTTCCTTATGATGATTATTGTGGCTTGTTCTCTCTTACTTTATTTTAGCATGAAGATAATCAGAAAAGTTTTAAAAATAAACTGGTTTATGGGAATTTTTTTAAATATATGATTTTTATAGAATTGAAGATTGTTCAAAAAAGATTTTTTCTTAAATTAATGATTTCAGCAGAATTGGGCTCGTTATCTCACCATGCAAGACATTGTGGCATTTACGGTTGATTCCAATTAGTTTATGATTTAATTCGATTAAATTGAATTTTAAATGGGATCCTTACATTGCAGGAACAAAAAAGATTTATATAAAAATCGATCCAATCAAAAAAAAAAACAACGTCCTGTCCAAATTTTTTAAAGTTTATCATAAATTTCTAAAGTAGGATTTGAACCCATGCCGTAAAGATTTCAACATAAATTTGCGTTAAACCTCGTCTTCAATTACGGATTTCTTATAACTTTAATCAACTTTAGCTAAAATAAATATATAAAGCACCTCACAGAATTCACAAGCATGCACACCCAAACAAAGATTTTTAAAAACAATCCAATTAAAAATGTTGTGCAACATCAACAAAAAGACTTGAACGATTCTATCTGACTGTGTGCTTAGTCAAATGAATTATTAATTTGTATGCAATTTGTATTATAGGTGATTTATAAATTAACGTCTTTAAAGTCGCTTGTGCTTTTGTGAATAACGAAACGTTTCAAAATAAATTCATTTCGTGAGTCGAAAAAAAGAGGCAATAATTGCCTGTCTCATAATTAACATTCCCAGATCGTTTCAAATGTTTTTAACTTTCATGCTGTTACTTACCTGACAAATTCATAAGCAGCCGAGCATTTACCAATGAGTTTATAATTAATTCAGATCGATAATTTAAAAATCATTTTAATTACCATCTAGATTTTGCTGTAGTAAATTTACTCGAGTTATTTCATACTTCAATTAATACTGGGGGTCCTCGATTTGAGTAGATTCTATTTGAGTAGATTCGATTTGAACAGAAAATTTTTTACCCACCAAAATATTCGATTTGAGTGGATTTCTTCCTGTTTTCTTCGATTTGAATTGTTTACAAAACAAATATTTTTGATAAAAACATTTCAGAAAATATTTTTAAACATAAATTTTTCTGCCATAAGTGTGAACTTATCATATTGATCGAAAAATCAATACTAAAGTTACAAAATTAAAGTAAAAATTTAAAAAATCGATATAAAATTAACGGTTTTAAAAAGTTCAAATTCAAAAACCCTACAAATTGTTCGGTTAAATAACATTTGCAAGGTTCTCATATTTTTGTTTTGCTTCAAAAACATATTTTTTGTGAATTTCTGTTTAAAAACAATATGAATATGCGTTGAAATAAATTAAGTTATCTAAAACACATAGGTAAAATTAAGAAAATAGGTAAAATGTGCAAAAAATTATCAAAATTTTCATTGTTTTGATACATTTTTTGGACTCTGGAACAAAACATGTGATTTTGTATGGATTCTTTGCCTCGATTTGAATAGATTCGATTTGAGTAGAAATTTTTTGGAACAAAACAACTACTCAAATCGAGGACCCCCAGTATGTAAAAGCGTGCTATTTAAATTACGGAAAAGTTGTCAATGGAAGTTTGAGGAATTGACGATTAAAACGCATTTAGTATTCGTTTTTTTTTGTAATTTAACGACTTTTTTATATTCATAGTTGTATGGTTCTGTAAATTTTGAACTTTTAAAGCGTCGCTTTGATTATTTTTGAATTTTAGAAATACGTTAGATTTGAAGAAATATGCAAGAAGCTTTATATATCAATTAGGAAACTCTGGAATCAAGTTTTGTTTAGCAATCGAAAAAGTAATGGAAAGTCAAGACAAATTAACCTCAAAAAACCATATCATTCATGAAAAAGCGCCTAAAAGCTATTTAATTTCAAGTGGTAAGCAATTGCATTAGTTAAAATCACATTATGCATATGAGGCGAATAAATTTTAACAGAAAACTTTAGGGGCCGTTCACTTATTACGTTACGCAAAAAACGACTTTTTTCACCCCTCCCCCCTTCTTACAATATGTTACAACTCACAACAACCCCCCCCCCCCCCCCTGAACGTTCATAATTTATTTTATTTTGATAATTTTTTTTTAAAAGACAGACGACAGTTAGAACGTTACATACTTCTTGACATACCCCCCTCCCCTATGTTACATTTTGTTACAATTTTTTAAACCCCCTCCCTCCTAAAATGCGAACGTAATAAGTGAACGGCCCCTTATTATCTTGATGGAAATTTTGTATGCAATTTGAATTCCTTTCTCAAGAGATATTTAACGAGTTCTTCAATTTCATGGCATCTCACATGAATTTGTTGCTGTTGTATTTTCGCTATATTTGACTTTTCAGGAATTTGAAATATTTTGGTGCCGGCATCACGACGAAGCTTTCACCAAAAAAAAACATGTTCTACATATGACTGTGATGCGATGGCTGTTGATTTATCCACATGACCATATTATTACTTCAAAGTCTAGACTCAAAAAATAATTTCTATAAAGTCATTAGCGATTAAAAAATTAGGACATGTACATATACAGAGATAGACATTCACACGGAAAAGTAAATATTTCTGTATCCACAACAATTACTAAAGGCAGTGCTTAAAGTTTGCACAGGAAAAATGAAAATGTAATTTAAAATATTATAATAATTAGATTAACTAATGAAGTGCAATTATAGCACATATATAAATACAGAGTATTTACCTGTTAATTAAGTGTAATTTTAGTCACATAATATTATTATCAGTATTCTGGTGTTTAACAGACATTCATGTTTAACTCATTTTTGTGCGAAATTGAGCATTATCACGAGAAAGGAGTGACTAGTTGATATGCGTTTTACTGTTTGTTGAAATTTTCAGCAATTTTGACAAAGTTTTATTGAATATTTAGGTTTGTTTGACTCTTCTTTACAAGATTTCTTTGAATTTACAGTTTTATATCCTATATAATTCAAATTTACTGGATCTTCGTAATTTAATTTGTTATTGAAATAATTTTGCATAAACTCAATTGAATTTCATCCTAGATTGATCAAATTATTGTTTCTGGATGTTACACATCTCTATTAGTGGATTAAGAAATACATTTAAGTATTAATAAATAGCTTAAATTCCTTAATTTTATAATGTGCCTCCACGTTTTTTTAAGGATTTTTGCTTAACGGAAAAAATAATTTGAATTTTTCACTAACACTATCATACAAAACATCAAAAATTAAATTATCAAAATTCTTAATTATTCAATCATTAATCCAAAATATTATGATTTGAATAGGAAAAGTAGATGATGCATTAGCTGTTCCGACTTTTTTAAGAGCTTTTACATCATTATTCAGTGATATTTTCGAGACTTTTCAAATTTCATTTTCGATTTTGTTTGTAAACAAACAAATTACAGCCGAAAAAATTCAAAAAAGTTAAACCCGTTAAAAAATTTAACTTAATTTTGTCCATTTGGGTATGTTAATGCAGCAATTTTTATTTTTTTATAAACTCAAATAGAACAGAATTGAATTTCCGACCCAAAAAATACATTTGGAGATATATCAATAAACAATAATGAAGATATAGTAAAATTCCCAAAAATTGTACGTGAGTGACGCTTAGTTAAAGTGATTTTTTCGAGTAACAGTAAACTTTCATGAAGTGAATTGTACAACAATAGATGGGGATTTTGATTTTCTTTTCAAAAAAGTAGCTTTTAAATTTGTCACTTTTAAGGATATATCTCCTTTTCAAGAATAACAAAGCGTCACTCACGTACAATTTTTTTGTGACGAGACCCTAATATCTTTCAAAAGGCGTACCCTGTTTTTTCGTTATAAGCTACTACTCGTTACTAAGCTACTAGTGAGCCAAAAAAAATCACTTTTTTATTCTTCTAAGCTACTAGCTTATAACGAAAAAACAGGGTACTTTGCTTGTTCAAATCAAACCTCAAAGGGTGAAAAACTACGACTGATATAAAATTTCAAACCTCAAACAGTTTAAAATTGCAAATCATACACCACCTCTCATCATCTGCATCAGAAAGACTTCTTTACTTGCCATTTCATTTCATGAAATAAACTTTCACTCAAATCAGGCATTCGAATGGAGACACTTGCCTTATTAATTTAAAAGCTTATGAGGTTTTGATATAATGTCAGTCTTTTGTGGTATTTCCAACTTGTTATTCAATTTTAAACTTCTTTCTATTTGTCTATTTTTAGCTCAATTAAAGTCTTTTTTTTTATTAAGCTAAGCAAAAAAAAAAGCGTAAATTCAAATGAATTTTATAGATTTCTCTAACACACCACAGATATTTTCCTTTCATTCAAAATTTAATATCTATTTTGAACAATAAATTACATTGAATAACAAAATAAATAACTAGGCTTTTGCGAATAGCAAAACGAACAGCGATTAACAATAGTAAAAATGAGTCGTCACTGTATGGAATTTTTTGTGTTATGTATGTTAAATAAGAAGAAATGATTTCCTGCAATCAAGGTCGATTTGCTG